ATATGGGCTTGTCATTGTTTTCTGGAAAGACACAAGCATACCCTTGTCCCCACGTTAATAGTGGATCTGGTCCCTTCCATTGGCCTGTCAGTACATCCTTCTACCAAACTCTGACTGAGGTGGTGTCTCATTTTACTTTTAAAAAATATCTGTCAGCAGCAGACTGCCCATGAGTATCACAGTTCAAAAAACTTAAAAGTATATAAGACATTATTTCATCTTTTCATAGGGCTGTTCCAATATTCCCCTGTTACTCTCCCTTTTTGTTTTTCTAAATAAAGTTTTAAAGTTGATGTTTTCTCTCTATTATGGTTTGGCCTTGAGGATTGTAAGGAACGCCAGTAGAAAGGCTGATAGAACAAAAGGAACAAAAATGTAAAAAAGACTTACTTGTGTAAGCCGGGGCATTGCCTGTTCTTAACTGTTTAGGAGGTCCACAAAAGGTACAACAATGTAATAAATGATGGATAACATGTTTTATTGCCTTTTGTAAAGAAAAGAGTTAATAATTCTTTATTAGATATATGTTTGATCTCGCCAGTTTCAATTCGAGGAAGTAAATGAACCACATACTGGCTGTCATTCACAATATTAAGTGGTTGGCATGAGAAATCCTGAAAAACAAGTAAAACAGCATAAGCTTCTGCCCTTTTGGCTTCCTTGGCAGCCCTAATAGCCTGTTTACAATCCTTGTTGGCATTGCCATAAGCCTATTGTTTAATTAAGATATTAGCGGCTATACTATCACTAACACTTCTAGTCACTGCTATATTTACTCTATCCACAAATTGTTCTGTAGGCCCTTGTATAATTTTAGTAAAATTAGAATTATCAGCTCCTTTTGCCAGTAACTTAGACCATGCCTGAGAGGCTGCGGCTGTTATCTGCTGATATGCTTGTAAGGGATAGGTTAATTGAGTTGAGACCTCTAAAAACTGTCCGATACCAGATAGCATTTCAAAACTAATAGGAACATTATGTTGCTGATTTCTCATACTTTGTTCTGTACAAAAATCATGAAAATACATTTTCCACATCAAATAATCTCCTCCTTCTAATGCAGTTTTAGCCAATATATACCAATCATGAGGACACAAAACTTCTTGAGCAATAGTTTCTATTAAAGTTTTTACAAATGGTGCCGTTGGCTCATAGGTGGTAGCAGCTTGTTTCAAATCTTTAAGGGTTGTAAAAGAAAATGCCTTATGTGCTCTCCTCGGTTGCTGATCTATGTATTCTGTTATGGGAAAAACATGTTTTAATTCTAATGGACTGTCCTCATCATGGCCCTCGCCTTTTGCACCATAACTTGTATAGGTGATAAAGGAGGCATGGTGGATGATAAACAGTTAACTTGCTTCCCTGAGGGAAGGAAAAGGTTAAAAGGTGGAGGAGAGCAAGTGTTAGCAGGCATGGTTGCAGCTGAAACGGTCTGATTTAAAAAGGGTTTTGCTTGACTTAAAAATGGATTTAAGGAAGGATATAACTTCTCTTCCTTACCTTCTGAGGGTTCAGTTTCTAACTTCTGTTTAACTATTTCTTCTTGTAATTTTAACTCTTTTAATTTTGAATCTGTATCTACAATTTTCTCCTTCCCTACTTTAGGATCTATGCCCACACTTACTCCCTTATCTAATTCTAAACACAGTTTTAAGATACTTCAAATAGAAAACACACGCTCGAGAAAATCCTCCGGCCCACGTTCCTTCAAATGCTTATTTATTTGTTGACCGACAGTCTCCCAAATTGTTAGATCAACGGTTCCTTCCTGAGGAAACCAAGGACAACAGTGATCCACACACTGTAAAAATTCCTCTAGCTCTCTTTTTTAGACACTGAAAAACCTCTAACTTGAACTAATGTTTTAAGAACAGAAATAGAACAATCTCTCTCATGAGATGATGAATTCCCCATGTCAGTCTGACTTAAAGAAGATTTATTTAACTCACCCACACTCACCCTTTTTCTGTTATGGACAGAGCTCCGTTTTTCTTCAAGTGGGGTGTCCTTTTGAGGCCTGCTGCCGCTCCGCTCCCTGTCCTTTTGGGCGCCAATTGCCGCGTTCGGCAAAACCGCACAGGTCACGAAAGGAAGCGACACGAAAGGATTAGTAGTTTTCTCTGTTATTATTTAAGAAACGGGGCCAGGCGACGCCCTGCATATTCTGCAGGAGCGACCCCTGATGCATCCGCTCTGCTTCATTTATACATAAGCGTACAACTACATCATTATTCTTGATATTTCTTTAAAACAATCAAGTATTCAATCAAATATTCTTCTATAGGAAAATCAAATATTTCCTTATAACAATCAGTTACTAATTAAAAGTTAAAGTTTTACTCTTTCCCGTACCCAAGGGCATTTTCCCATGTCCAAATGTATTGGGTAATTAGGTTAACATCTCTTGCAGAACTAGCAAATAATCACTAAGATAACTTATTCTAAAACATAATATGATTGTTAAGGTACATGATTCTAAAGAACAGTTTCTAAGGTATACTATTCTTTGGGCAAAACGTTATTCCAGGGAAAACAGGTGAGCAAACATCCTGCTGGGGCAACGTTCCGCCCCAGGAACACAAAGCTGAAGCCAAGCATTCAACTGTAAGAGAGGCCTTGCCATCTCTTAAAGCAATCATTCAACCATGCATCTCTTAACTGTAGTTAGAACATGTGCCTTGCAATCAGGTTCTTTTGGGGGGTCTTTTTCTTGGTCTCCAACACCAAATCACAATAAAATTTAAAAAAAGAATACAGCACCTCTCTATATAATGATACAGAACAATGTCTAAAATATATTATTAATGGTAAAAAGAAAAAAAATCTATGTATATATGTATGTATTCATTCATATATTTACATGTGTAAAGAATGTCTCAGGATACAAGCAGTGATTATCTGTGGAGAGAGTATATGGGTGGCTAAGGAAGAGGGTGGATGAAGATAACCTTATATTGTAAGCTCTTTTGTTCATTTTTATCATGTGTATATGTTACATATTCCAAAAATCTTATATTCACACAACGCAAAAATTTTGCTTCTAGATAAGTTGCCTGCAAAAGCCCTCACATATGTACAAAATAGGAAAAAGACAGTATTGTTTATAATAATGAAAAACTAGAAACAGCCAAAATCTTCATCAATAAGAGAATGAGTATGAAAAACATGGAATAGTTGTGATAGAATAGCATATAGCAGTTACAGGAAATGAATCAGAGTGATCCATTTATGTATCAAGGAGCCCTGCTGGCACAGTGGTTAAGCACTCAGCTGCTAACCAAAAGGTTAGTGGTTCAAACTCACCAACCACTTCTTGGGAGAAAGATATTGCAGTCTGGTTCTATAAAGATTAGCCTTGGAAACTCTACTCTGTCCTATAGGGTCACTATGAGTCAGAACCAACTTGATGGCAGTGGGTTTGGGTTTTTTAGATCTATACGTTTACATCAAAAGATTAAAACACAGGTTGAATGAAAAAAAAAGAGAGCATAATACAGAATACTTATTTAGTATACCATTTATGTAACTTTCTTAACACTAATTATGCTAAATTGGGAAATATTTTATATATATATATATATATATATATATATATATATAAATTTTTTTTTTTTTTTAATTTCAGGAGCTCTGGTGGCATAGTGCCTAAGGCATTTGCCTGCTAACCAAAAGATCAGCAGTTCAAACCAGCTTCTCCACAGAAGGAAGATAGGGAAATCTACTTCCATAAAGATTTACTGCCTAGAAAACCTAGTGGGGGTCACTGAGTCAGAATCAGCTGGATGGCAGTGAGTTTGGTTTGGTCTGTTATATATAATTCAGCAATTTAAAAAAATATTAAAAAGTTAATGAAAAGTATAAAAATCAACTAGAGAGGTACCAAACTCATGATGGTAGTCACCTCTGTGGAGGACAGGGGAGACTTCAAGCATATATACTGAAAATATTTTTTCTAGGAGCTCTGGTAGCGTAGTGCCTAAGGCACTTGACTGCTAACCAGAAGGCTGGCAGTTCAAACCCACCAGCCATTCCTCAGAAGGAAGGTTGGGCAATCTACTTCCAGAGTGATACCGCTTCAGAAAGCCAAGGAGGGGTCGCTATGAGACAGTCCAACTTGATGGCAAAATAACAACATATACCTAAAATATTTATTTCTTTAAAACAAGTGAAAAAAGATGGAATCAAATGTGATAAAATGTTAGAAGCTTTCATTCTGGATGGTAGGAGTGTAGGTGTTTATTTTATTCTTTGTATTTTTCTGTACTTTAAACCAGGGCTTCAAACACATTCATTCCCATTTCAGTTCAACCCCCTGCTGATAATTTGCATTTCTACCCCAGATATACTGAATCAATATCTCCATTTTAACCTGGAGATTTTGTTAAACTGTAGATTCTGATTCAGTATATCTGGAGCAGAAATGCAAATACCAATTTGTTAAAAACGTTGAGCTCTATTCAGCAAGGATCAAACCAGAATGAACCAGTCTGAAGCCCTGCTTTAAACATTTCTAGAATTTAAATAAAAGTACAAATATCTAGCTAAGTTTTCCAGGTAGATCCTTTTACTTTCTTTAGAAAGTCAAGCACATCCTAACAAACACAATTAATAAGTATTCAATTGAAAGCTAAAAATTTGTATTAGAAATTTTACAATGCTTGGAAACTCTGGTTGTAAATTCAGATTTCACACTCAGACACATAGGACGGAACCATTGCCAAAGAGAATGCAGGGAAGTCTGGATCTTGTCACAACAGGACTCTTTGTACACTCTCATTTGGTCATCCCCAGCCCCTCGCCTTCCAAATTCCTATTAGCACATACTGTTAAGAAGGCAAAAAGACTTGCCTCCAGGCTTACTCATTTTCCATGTGTTTTTTTCTCTTTGTGAATAAAACATCCCATAGGTGGAGCTTATACCTCTTTAAAAACTGGAGTCACCGCACTTACCTGATCATTGAGTTCCAACGTCCTGCTGTGCCAAGAAGCAATCAACCAAAATGATACCTGGAGGCTTAACAGAAGCTAAACCTGCAACTCCAGAAATCCAGGAGATGGTTAATGAGGTGAGTTGATGCAGCCCATGAAAAGGTTTGATCCAAAATCTTGGTTCTTGTGTTAGACTCGTGGTAAGTGTGTGAGTGGACATGAAATCTAGAACCTTGGGGAATGTGTGGTTTTGTTCAGACTTCCTTTCAACTAAAATGTAATCCTGAGCATCTCAGATGAAACCTCTAATAACCCCAACACTGTCAGAGTACCCATGAGTAAGTCACATCCCTTCTCTGAGCCTCAATTTCCCCATTTGTAAAGGAAGAATTTATATCAAATCATCTCTAAAGCTCTTCCAGCTTTTATGATATATGATTTTACTAATTCAGTTTCTTATGAAATATTTCTAATCTCACTGTAAGGTTGGGTTGCCGATGCTAAAAGAAACCAGGCCAGAGAAATAAAAGAGAGAGTTAAGAGATGCAAGCATCAAAGCAAATGGCTGACTCTGCACTAGAGAGGCCAACTAGCGATTGTCTTGAGTTAGGGTCTTCCTTATTCTCCTCTCTGAACTCCTCACGTCTTTGTCTCTGGGTTTAAGACATCACAGGGTTCACTCGGCCAAATTCCTCGATTGGCTAGTTCCTTCCTTTTGGTCAGTTTGTTCTTTCCTTGTAGTCATGGTGCCCCTATAAGATAACTTTTTACAAGAGTCAGACAATAGTCATTAACTATTTTCAGAAGTCTGATAGTGCGGAATTTTGTGGGGTTTTTTGTAACATTCCATTTTGGCTGAGGGTAAATTACTGTGAGGTTTGATTTTATTAACCCTTCACTCACCAAAAGGTGCCAACATATAACTAAAGTCTAAAGTTGTTAACAATTTGATGAAGTAGACTTCAAATGCACTGCAGGGAGATTTAATTAATTAATAGTTTGAAGAACAATATTGTAAAGGTGACCTACTTACAAACTTTCTACTGATTTGCCTAAATAGACAGTGTTTTCATCTTTTCGTTAGAGGAAGACAAAACAATTAGAGAAGTAGCGTAATCCATGATAATTTCACGTGATATAGGAAGCCAACCTGATTATGATAAGAACAGAGCTCCATGTTTTTAACAAATTAATACATTTTTCTAGGTTTTGTTTGATTAATTACCAACTAATCATAAGTAATCCCTGGAGAAGGATGTCATGCTTGGTAGGGTGGAGGGTCGACGAAAGAGGGGGAGGCCTTCAACGAGATGGATTGATATGGTGGCTGCGATGATGGGCTCAAGTATAGCAGGGATTGTGGGGCTGGCGCGGGATAGGGCAGTGTTTCCTTCTGCTGTGCATGGGGTCGCTATGAGTCAGAAATGACTCGACGGCACTTAACAACAACAACAACAACAACAATCATAATATAATAAAATCTTGCTGTATTATACAATCTGTGAAAGGAAAATACATATGAATTACTCTTTTTTGATTAGTAATTTGTAGTCTTATTTTCTTATATCTTTCCTTCTGTTTTTTACCCTTCTAAAACTTCATCCCATGACACTGTTTGGCAACAAGATCAGCTTCCTGTGTGCGTGGAAGAGATGTGATCCTCTATGTTGAAAGGCACTGGAAAGCTCTCTAAGGGACCAGACACCACTCATTCTTTGGGGCTAAATAGTTCCCTTTCCAGAGTTCTTTTAAAAGATAACTTGAAGCCTATTATTCTTGGAAAAGTTAATATTAAGTCAATAAAAAATAAATAAATAAAACCACTGCTGAGTCAATTCCAACTCAAAGCGACTTTATTGGACAGAGTAGAACTGTCCCATAGAGTTTTCTAGGCTGTAATCTTTACAGAGGCAGACTGCCTCATCTTTCTCCAGAGGAGTGACCTTTCAGGTAGCAGACAAATGCTTAACCACTGTTACCAGCACAGCTCCAAGTCAATAATGCCTATTAGGAATCTGTAGGTGATGTAAAAGGAACTCTGGTAGCATAGTGCCAAAGGCACTTGACTCCTAACCAGAAGGCTGGCAGTTCAAACCCACCAGCCACTCCTCAGAAGAAAGATGGGGCAATCTACTTCTGTAGTGATACAGCCTCGGAAACCCAAGGAGGGGTTGCTATGAGTCGGGTCCGACTTGACGGCACATAACAACAACAACAACAACAACAGGTGATGTAAATAGTTAAAGCACTTGACCACTAACTGAAAAGTTGGAGACCAGAGTCTACCCAGAGGTGACTTAGAAAAAAAGCCTGGTGAACCTCCAAAAATATCTACCATTGAAACCTCTATGAAGCATGCTGTTGTTGTTATGTGCCATAGAGTCGGACCCGACTCATAGCTACCCCTCCTTGGGTTTCCGAGGTGGTATCACTACGGAAGTAGATTGCCCCATCTTCCTTCCGAGGAGTGGCTGGTGGGTTTAAACCGCCAGCCTTCTGGTTAGCAGTCAAGTGCCTTAGGCACTACGCTACCAGAGCTCCCCTATGGAGCATAGTTCTACCTTAATACACATGGGGCCTCCGTTTAGTCAGAGTTGACTCACTGACAAATTGTAACCCCCCCAAAAAAAAACATAAAACTTAAATTATTAATAGTGTCATGTGAATTCCTGTAATAGACCACTGCTCTCAAACGAATTGCACATGAATCACCTGGTAGTCTTGTCAAAATGCAGATTCTGCCTGAGTAGATCTGGGGTAAGGCCTGAGATTCTGCATTTCTAACAAGCTCCCAGGTGATGGCAATGCTGTTGTGCATGTGCCTCACAAGCGTGCAGGACCAGAGACATATGGCATCCTTAGAGGCCTATGGGAGAGGAGGCTTTCTAAAAGCAGGGTGCTGGAATAAAAGTTCCCAGTTTCCCTTGTAAAATAAAGATAACACCTCTTAAAGGACAAATGGAAACTGACAACACAGAGAGGAAGCAGGAAGGGTGCTGTTACATTGAGGAAATTAAACTAATATTACCAAACAAAATGTGTATAAACTGTTGAACAGAAAACTAATTTGCTCTTTCACCCAAACCACAATTTAAAAGAAAGAAGTTATGGTGTTGGTGAAGAATATTGAACATACCATGGACTGCCAGAAGAACAGACAGTCTATCTTGGAAGAAGTACAGTCTGAATGCTCCTTAGAAGCAAGGATGGCAAGACTTTGCCTCATGGACTTTGGCCATGTTGTCAGGAGGGACCAGTCCCTGGAGAAGATATCATGCTTGTCAAAAGAGAGAGAGAAAAAAAAAACTCACTGCCGAAAAGTCGATCCTGACTCATGGTGACCCTTCCTTGGGTTTCTGAGGCACTATGTCTACCGAAGTAGATTTGCCCAATCTTCCTTCCGAAGAGTGGCTGGTGGGTTTGAACCTTAATGCCTTAGGCACTACACCACCAGAGCTCCTTTAAGGAATAATAGAGGTTTAAAACATAGAGGACACAGAAAATTTTAATTGTTAGCAAAAAAAAAAAAATGTTTTAAACAAGAAGCCTCCAAAAAATCTTGGATTTTTTTTCCCCCCTTTTGAACATTTTATTGGATTCAGGTGAAAGTTTACAGAACACATTAGTTTTACATTCAACAATTTATATACGTTTTGTTTCATGAAATTAATTGCCATAGCCTTAGGGGTTTCATCAATCTCTATCAGACTAGTAAAACCACATCAGGGTTGTATGATTTTGAATTTTGTTCTACACTTTTCTCCTACTCTGCCCAGCACCTTTTATTGTGATCCCATCAGAGTAGTTGGTAGTAGTAGCTGGGCACCATTTGGCTCTTCTGATCTCAGGCTAGTGGAGGCTGTGATTCACATGGTCCATTGGTCCTTTTTGCTAATTGCTTGCTTGAGTGTTTGATTTTCTTTACTCCTCTTTGCTCCAGCCGAGAAAAGAACAATAGTCGCATCTTAGATGGCCACTCACCAGCTTTTAAGACCCGAGTCTCGCCACAGTAGGACGTGGAACTCATAGTCTTTGTTGACTATGTTATGACAATTGACCCAGATGGCCCCTGAGACCATGGTCCTATACTCCCCCAAGGCCAGTGTTTCAAGGTGTTTGGTTAAGGCTAAGAAGTTTTCATACCTTTGCCCCCTTATGATCTACTACATGCATGGATATATTTGCAATATATACAAACATGTATATAGAAATGTCTTTTGCCAAACCTATATATACATAGACTCACGGGTGTACAAGACCTTGAATTGTTAATAACACCCATCTGTGAGCAGTATCTTGAATTATAAAATTAATTTGAAAGTATTTTACTGTTTACTCCAGGCTCCAACTCTGTCAGAGAGGTAGTGTGAGAGGTAGTGTTTCGATTACTTCATGCTGCTCTAACAGAAAATACCACAGATGGGATGGGTTTAACAAACAGGAGCTTATTCTCTTACAGTTTTGGAGGCTAGAAGTCTGCAGTTCAAATTGCCAGGGTCTAGGGCCTGGGTGAAAGCTCTTCAACCTTGGGCTTTAGCTCTGCCTCCTGCTCTTGGCCCACTGACACTAGAGGCATCTCTTCATTTGGGTAGCTGCTGGCTGCTGAGGCTGACAAACCCAAGGGCAACAAGTGAAAAGGCACAGTCCTGATATCACCAACCCACACAGCAGGCCACTGATTCAAGTCCATTAACAGTCCCCCGATCGGCAGAGCATGCATGGCAGACTCAGCTACACACAGGGTCCAAGCGTGCCAAAAAAAAAATTAGAGACCATTCCCAAAGTTTCTCCTTATATACAGGAAGCAGGCCATATTCCTAAAGCAGCTATTCACCTGCTCGCAGCAGATTCTACCATCTAGTTGACTGCCATTCTCATCATAGGGAATAACTACCACCAGCTGCCCGGCCACTCAACCAGGCCCAGCCAAGCTGACATAGAACCTAACTTACAATAGTCACCAGAGGTACTTGAAGAAAGGTCTGAGGATCTACTTCCAAAATATCAGTTATTGAAAACCCTATGAAGTACAATTCCATTTAGTCTCTCATTTGATCTTCATAACTCCTGGGGCAGATGAGGAAGGCATTGCATCCACTTTTTCAGATGATGAAACCAAGATTTAAATGGTTAATAG